CAATAAAAGAACACAGTATTCAGCCATGCCTTTCAGACCAGGAAAATAATACAGTTTAAATACAGTGAGGATCTTACCATCATCAATAGCATTTTTGACAGCCCTCAAACCATCTCTTATTGCATCTTTGATTTGAGTGAGTGTGTGCTTATTTGGTCCTTTGACCAGTAATGTGACAGAGCGAGGGTTGTTACATTTCTCAATAAAGGTGAACTTCTCTTCTCCCTACATACAGAAGACAGATTATGTTCAAAAACAGGATTTGGCTGTGCAAAGAGTAAACAGAGGGGAAGGGCTCAGAGAGAGAATAACTATCATAATACAGAACATAACTACATTAAAGCAGTTCTAGAAAAACCATACAGAAGTGTGATTTTCCCTCATCAATGGCTTATTATCACTACATATAAACTATCAAAATGCATATAAACAAAGAAAAATCCGAGCTTCAATTTCCATTAGTTTTTCTTTTTTTTTGAGACAGAGTCTCACTATGTTGCCCTGGGTAGAGTGCCGTAGCATCAGAGCTCACAGCAACCTCAAACTCTTGGGCTTGAGTGATTCTCCTGCCTCAGCCTCCCAAGTAGCTGGGACTACAGGTGCCCACCACAACGTCCAGCTAATTTTTTTTAGCAGGGGCTGGGTTCAAACCCACCACCCTCGGTATATGGAGCCGGCGCCCTACTCACTGAGCCACAGGCACTGCCCCATTAATTTTTCTACTGAAGAATTCATTAAAAATACCATTACCTTCAGGAAGAAAATACTTACCACTGAGCCACAGGCACTGCCCCATTAATTTTTCTACTGAAGAATTCATTAAAAATACCATTACCTTCAGGAAGAAAATACTTAGCACTGAGCCACAGGCACTGCCCCATTAATTTTTCTACTGAAGAATTCATTAAAAATACCATTACCTTCAGGAAGAAAATACTTACCAATGTATACTCATAAACAAGTCCCGCATGTCCCAAACAGTCAGGATTTAGGTCATCAAAAGAATTTAGAGCTATCCCACCACAAGCAAGAGTCAGCCTGAAATATTAAAGGGTTTTAAGGGAGATGTAAGAAATTTGGGGGAAGGATTTTTCAGAACTATTACTAAATTATATTCTAAAACATGCTTTATTCTAAACCTTTTTCTCACCATCTATCAGCTGAAAACTGCTCTTTCCTCCTAACCATTTAAACTGCTTTCCCCAAGAGAGCAAATACTACTTTGATATGAAATCTAAAAATTGACAGGAGCTCTTTACTGGGTGAGCTCTCTGGGAGAAAACTATTTCTCTGAAACTTTTTGACACTGTCTCTTAGCAAAGAAAACCATGCATTGTATGTGTCATGGTTTAAAAATAAAACAAGTATATACCAATGTTCAAAGCAGCATTATTCACAATAGCCAAAAGGTAGGAACAATCTAAATATTCACCAAAAGATAAAAAAATAAACCAAATGTGGCACACACATACAATCCAGTTATTATTCAGCCTTAAAAAGGAATGAAATCCTGCAGCTCAAGCAGAAGGATCGTTTGGGCTTAGGAGTTTGAGACCAGCCTGAGCAAGACCTGGTCCCTAATAAAAATAGAAAAATTAGCCAGTCATTGGCACTCAGTGGTGAGTGCCTCTAGTCCCAGCTACTCAGGAGGCTGAAGCAGTAGAATCACCTGAGCCCAGGAGTTTGAGGTTGCTGTGAGCTAGGCAGATGCCATGGCACTCTATAGCCTGGGCAGCACAGTGAGACTCTGTCTCAAGGGCAAAGTGGGGGGGGGAGGAATTCTGATACATTCTATGAATCTGAAAACATTATGCTAAGTAAAATCAGCCAGACACAAAAGGACAAGTACCAAATTTAAACACTGGGGCCACAGGAAGGGAGAAACTGTTTAACAGCTACAGAGTTTCAGTCTGAAATAATGAAGAAGTTCTGGAGATGGATAGTGGTGACAGCTGTACAATAACGTGAATGAAGTTAATGCCAACAAACGGTACACTTGAAAAGCAAAATAAGTAGAGAAAAAAGGAATAACCCAAATTCACATTACTCAGGTGATCTGCTACCCGTACCTCTCCATATTTCTCCTTTTAGCCCTGCGCAGAGCTACTATGCCTTCTTTTGCAAGAGCATCTAAGGAAAAGGGGTCAATTCCCTAAAACAAAACAAAACAATTAGTTTCAGCACTTTCATCTTAAAAATAAAGATAATAAAGATTAGTGTATAAATCAAAATGTCATCTTACCTTTTGGTTAATAACAACAAATCCTTTATCTGAATCACCACAGACTTTCTTTTTCAGTTCTATTATTTTTTTAACTCTATCTTCAATGAATTTTCTTTCCGCTTTTACTAGTTTCTCTCTCTCTTCTGCACTCTTGTAAAAAAAGCCAGAATTCACTTCT